TGTTACGAGTTGGAGAGGTGGCTCTGACGCCTAACGAATGGTGACGAGCTGGAGAGGTGGCTCTGACGCCTAACTGAATGGTGACGAGCTGGAGAGGTGGCTCTGATGTCTAGTTGAGTGGTGACGAGCTGGAGAGGTGGCTCTGATGCGACCTGCAAGGACACAGTGTCAGAGTGCCCAGGTTGGTTTACCCGGGGTGGGCACTCCGATGCTTAAGTTAGCGAACCATAGATTTTAAGATAGCTAAATGTGGGAGAGCTGGAGAGCTGCAATAACTAAATTGTGCCTCTCCCCATAGAATTGGAGGTAAGGCCTTTATATAGGCATTGTTTGGCGAGAGCATCATGCAACACGTCCAGGATCTCCGGGTGGAGAGGTAGTCGTGCATGTAGGCCAATCTTTGCGCCTTACTCGGTTCTCCCAAAACATTCGGTGTGAGAGCTGATTTCCGAGAGACTTGGGAGTGATGGGATGCATATAGAAATCGACGGCGAGCACGTCTCGTAGGTCGCTAAGTTGGCGCTAGAGGTAGGTCACTAGGTTGGCACCAGGGGCAGGTCGCCAGGTCTGCGCTATAGGTAGGTTGCCAAGTCGACGCTAGAGGCAGGTCGCCAGGTCGGCACCAAGGGCAGGTCGCCAGGTTGGCACTAGGGGCAGGTCGCCAGGTCGGCGCTAGAGGCAGGTCGCTAGGTTGGCGCTAGAGGCAGGTTGCCAGGTCGGCACCAGGGGCAGGTCGCCAGGTCGACGACAGTGCTAGGTCACTAGCTGGGGCTCCATCATTTTGGCTAAGAAAAATTGTCGCCTAGGTGGTTCTGGGTGTCATCCAGCTGTTCCGAGATGCCACGTGTCATGATGTTAGTGGAGGGCCAAATTTGCCCTCATCATATATCGTTTCAGGAGCTTTCCAATACGCCCCTATAAAGGGTGTATCGGAGTTCTGACCAATTCAAGGGGTGGAGGAGCCTTAAACCGCTTCTCTGAACCGATTTAAAAAAATATAAAAAAAATGTACTAATATGGCCTGATACGCCCCTACCGACATATTGAGCATATCGATATTTTGAACCTTGCTATCAAACCTTCGTATACATGTATTTCAGTGCTAAAATGTCAACGGATCAGGTTTGAGTGGCCCACCTCAACTCAAACCTTATTGAAGCCGATCCAGTCCTAACCCAATAAAATTGGGTCATTGCGGGCTTACCACTTAAACCCAATCAGCTGACATCTATTCTTCATCAATCACAGTCATCAATCATCAATATATATAAAAATAACAAATATATATTCATAGACAAGGGCTAGACAGGGCACGACCAAAGTCAAGCCACATTATTGTTTTAATTACATGTAATGCTAATGCAATGAACCACGTCAAGTGGCCTTTCCGCTCAAACAAATCCCTTATTCCTTATTTGTTATTCGGTCAAATTCTGAGGGGGAACCAAACATAAATAGATAGTCTTGTGAGTTTTATTCCTTTCCTTCCCTTTCATCCTGCAGCATTTTTTGACTTGCACACACTTTGCAACGACAGAAACGATACCTTCAGCAATCACTAAGGAGATGTTTCGTAGCTTCTGAAACAGACATTGAAGCAGCATTTCAGTAATTCTCTTCGAGGACAAGACAACTATATAATCCAGATTTGTTGGATGAAATTTAACCTAAGCTTTTTTTTGAGCACATCATTTCGGTAGCTCCTACCTACTAGGCTACTAATTTTTGCTGAATGGGCTTTTAATTGATTCTTTATCTCCAGAAAATTTTATTAATAAATAGCACTTTTAAAATGTTTTTTTTGAAATCCTGCAATGGCAACGGGTTGGGTTTGGGGCGGGGCACCCCCTCCTCAGTCCCTGCCCCGTAGTTAAGATACTTTGCCCCATCCCTGCATGGCGGGGCGGGGCATCCACTCCCCGTGGGGACAGGGAATTCTTGAATTTTTTCCGTTCAAGGAATTTGGAGGTATTTTAGGAATTGAATTATAATATTTTATGGGTACTTCAAAAATAAAATTATGGGATTTTAGGATTTTAAAAATTTAGGGAAAAAAGTAAAACTATTTTAAACCTAGAGATTTTATTAATTTACCTCCGGGTTCAGAGAATTATATACAAAACCCATCCCCGAATCTTTTCCCCGCCCCACCCTGTCCCCATTTAGGATTGACAAAAAAAACTACCCCATTTAGGGCGGGGCAGGGCCTCGGTTTTATGGGAGAAATTGCCATCCCACACTTTGATCGGTGATTTTTATTTGTTATTATTATCATTATTATTATTATTATTATTATTATTATTATTATTATTATTATTATTATTATTTTAACTGGGGTATACAATAGGGGTAGCCATGACCCCCAACCCTGATAGCAATGGGATTCGATTCAATCCCAAATCTGGTTACAACTAGCCAAAAATCCTACAAACTGAATCATCATTATATCTATTCATGGGCCAGACTTGGACTTAACTTTTAGCCAAAATTTGAATGACCCAAGTTAAAGCTTGAGCTTGAGCTTGAAGCCCAGTTGATTGGTTGTAAGTTGTAACCCTGGTTAATGTTCAAGTTTTTAACTCATAAAAAACTATGGGCACACATGTCCAACCCTCCCAAGACCCCCCTTGGCTGTGATCAATATTAGGTAATGGTCTTCTACTTTAGAAAAGAATAATAATAATAATAATAAATAAATAAAACTAATTAATGACCCTGCCCTCAATATAAGGCAAATATATGTATATTTTATTTGAGATCCACCCTTCACATGGCAAGTTTCAATGAAATCCTTAGAGCTAAATTTGGTGGGCTTCTAAAAAAGTTGTTTTTTTTTTTAATTAAGTTCTATTTATGATTAAAATCATACTTTAGATCTAAAATAAACCCCACAATATTTGAATTTATTTGATCTTCTCAAAGACCCTAAAGTCAATTCCTTTAAATAATTGAAGTTCAATTATATATCGTTATTCAACGTGGGCCACAAAAAAAGAAGGAAGTACATCCCAAACAAAAGATCCCCAATTCGAGATAGAAAATTGTGTCGGGGAGTGGGCCACGTTTTTATACGATCTAGGCTTGTAATGAACCAAGCAAGAACCAAGAAGGGATTTTGCTATCAAAGTCTGAATGCGCCAAAGAGGAGTGGCAAACTTGTCCAAGCAAGAGGATATCAATAATGGTTCGAGTGTCGCCCTTGACGATAACTATGGGAAAATGTTTAAGAGACAATCAATGAGAGACCTTCAAGGAATGTCTATGTGGGAAATCTACCTTACCTATGTGCAATAGGTTAGATTTATTTTTATTTTTTATTTGACTTGAGAAATTTAAATAGATTTCGATTATGTTTGGATAAACCTCAGGATTTGTGCCTTTAGAGCCCCAAAGCACAAAGCCTCAATTTTAAGGCTCATTTGGGAGGGCAGTGCTGAAGATTCAATTAAACTGATTCAGTTGTTTTGAAGTGGTTCAGATAAATTATTTAAAGAGATCAATGTGGACAGTCCTTCAAATGACTAACAGCTGATTTGGGCTCCCTGAATTTTTTTTACCAAACAGCTGAAGGTGCTATGCTTCACCAAAAGTTATCATGTTCATGAAAGTAGCACTCACCAAAAATTGAAAACACTTATTGGTTCAATTGGTTTTTCACATCCCACAGCTGGAAAGCAAAAGTTTATCCAAACAAAGCCTTGATTTGCGACTTAAAAAATTCCTAAGGCTGTATTTAGAATGCATGTGAGTGCAAATGAAAAAAAATGCAAATTTTTATTTAATTTTATTTTAAGTTTTACTTTATTCTATACTTCATGTCTTAATTTACTTCATGTCTAGAACCTTTACAAATTAAAGGACACCATAGTTTGGACCTAACTGAACATGACGACTGTATAATTGAAGTGGAGCCAATGGTAATGCCCCACACCAACCATAAATGCTAAGTGAGAGAATGGGCGGTTGTGGGCTATATGTATAGGACTGGTGTAATGGTTGTGGGCTATATGTATAGGATTGGTGTAATGGTGTGCAGTATCATACATGTTATGCCATTTGAGGGTGACTCATATGACCCAAAAATGGAACCATTCTGGCCATTGGTTTTCGGGTCGATGATTCGACCGTCCAATTTGAATGGACAACCCGTTTTGACAATAAAAACTAAAAAAAAAAACAGTCAAAAACCATTGAATGGGTCAATGGGTTGATAGTTCGACCACTCAAGTCAATGGGTCATTGACCGATTCAATGGTTTTTGCCCAGGGACCAGGATTAGGGTAAAACGGAACTAGTTACCTGGACAGTTTCCAATTAAAAAAAAAAAAACGGACAACCCGTTCTGACAACAAAAATTACATGCAAAAAATTGAGTGTGTGAGGTCCATTAAGCATTACCATACGTGTTATGTCATTCGAGCGTGTGACTTATACAACCTGAAAAATGGAACCGTTTTAGCTACCAGTTTTTTGATCAACGTTTGGACTATTCAGTTCGAATGGATGACCCATTCTGATAATAAAAATTAAAAAATAAAAAATGATAAAAAACCATTGAACGGATCAATGGGTCATTGACCATCAATAATTTTTAGCTACGGACTGAGATTAGGATAAAATGGAACGGATTGCCTATATGACCGATTAAAAAAATAAAAAACAGCCAAAACCCATTTAATAGGTCAACGGGTCAATAATTCAACTACTTGTGAAGTAGTGGTATTGGGTAGCCCAGTTGCTCCCTGGGCCTGGGAAGGGTCTATGCTAGAACACGCTTCTTCCATATCCCAGACTCGGGCTGCATATTTCAGCCCATTATATCTTTTAAGGCTCACTTATTAACAGATGAGCCCAGTCCATGTTTTAGAAAGTTGGGCCTGTTAATAGATGGCGTATTTTGGTAAAGAGGTAATAGTAGTGTAAGATGGGGATTTTTTGGTCATTTTAGTATTATTAACCATATGTTGACAATTTAACATTGATTATACGCCAGGTATATGCTTCCTTTCCTTTCGTCGTCCTGTGATCTTTCATGGCGTCCTCTCGCAAGGCAAAGAAACACGAGGAGGAAGATGAGACTTTCGAAGAAGAGGTACTCCATAGATTACTTATTTCTTAGATAATTTTTCTCCAATTTCTGAATTTTGAATTAGAATTGTTATCTTCTTTCATTTGATTCGATTTTTAGTGTATATCCTTCTTTCTGCAACTGTCATTTGATTGTGATTTCCTTTCCAACTGACTTCCAGTTCAATTGAAGTACAAAAGCCATTCCAAATCGGTTTTTCAATTGACAACTCGCTGCTCAAAGTGTACATGCCCTTACTAACTTGGGCAAAGTATGTTTGAGCACCTCAGCCCCCAAAATTTCTGTAGTTGTACCTATCAAGCAACACTGCGGATCAATGTGCTTGTGCTATTACATACTCTGCGACTTCCTCTGGAAATCCCTTTGCCATTTTTGTTACGTGGCTATATATATGCCTCTTCTTATGCTGCTTTGATGCTCATTTCTTATATGCCCTGTTTGGTCTTGACCTCAATTGGTGTTTAGTCCACTCCTTTTGAATGGGAAGCTCGTGGAGATACTGCTTGGATGGTTTATGTGTATAACCTCATAGCTTAATAAGAGATTGCAACATGATTTACCAAAGAAAAAAGAAAAAAATAAAAATTGTTGAGAGAAACTCAACTAAAGCTAATTGGCATTGGTTGCTATGCACTATGTTATGTCCATTAAGTTGCTGGAATTATTTCAGTGATAGTGCATTTTGATTGCTCGAGCATTCTTTATTAAATTCATTTTTTTGTCTGTTTTAAAACTTTCTAAACCACAACATTTCCCTTCCCTTTTCTCTCAAACCTCTCTTTAATGTTTACTTTTCATTTCTTATTTATCCAAGGTTGTCTTTGAACAACTGATCGAAAAAATGGTCTTTCTTTAAACTTGCTCTTTCAGGTTGCTCAAATTTTGTTCCATTTTCCTCCTCTTTCAGCGGTTATGTGTTGGCTGTCAACTAAGTTGAGTCTTGCTTTTTCATGATTATGTCTAGGGCTTCAGCTAATTGAGCTTTTACTTGACTTAGCTTAAGCTCTCAAATATCAGGTTGAACTTGGCTTGTTAGTACTTTCTAGAGCTTGGTCTCAGTTGGAAAAGATACAATACAATTTGCAAATTCCAATGGAAAGAAACCCTACCCAAAGGTGAGAAACTCTTCTGGGGGTGGTAGCTCAGAGTAATGGATTTTGAATTTTCTTTTCTTTCCCATGTTCCTGTTTCCATTGCAATCTGGCAACCCAAACACAATTTATTGGAAGAAAACAGCAAGATAAGTTTTCTATTTTTGTCTTAATTAAACCAACATATCAATTTTAAAACATCACAAATCCTAAATGAGGGGAAAATGATTGATAAATGCCATTCTCTCTGATCTTCTCTAGCACCTGTGGAGATTGATTGCAGAATGAATTTTATGGAAAGGTTTGGATGACTAAATAAGCATCCTTTAATTACTTGAAAGGTTGTTTGTAAACCAAAAAGGAAGGGTTTCTTGGTCTTCACCTTATCAGCATAATGAATTGGGATTGGAAATGATTTTAGTGATTTGAAGAGCGTTTGGGGTCTGAAGACCCTAGAGGATTTTCAAATGTTCTCAATAAATGACATACTGAGAACTTGGAAAGAAGTGCCTCTATCAGCTAAAGAAAAGGAAAGAGTAACCATGGAATGGAGACCCCCAGAAACCAATTGTGTTAAACTCAATTTTGATGGGAGTTACACTGGTAATCAGGCTGTCGCTGGACTGGGAGGGGTTTTCTGTGATACAGAAGGAAAGGTGTTGGCATTATATTGAGGACCTTTAGCAAAAGGTAATGCTTTGACAGCTGAGCTATGTGGGTTACTCCATGGCTCAAAATTTGCTAGGCAATTTGGTTTCCATAACCATTTATCCAAAAAAAAAAAAATAGTTTCCATAATTTGGAGGTGGAAGGGGACTCTCAGGTGGTCATTTCTTGGACAAGATGTAGATTCCAAATCCCTTGGGTCTATAGACATAAATTTTAGGAAATAGAAAGCTTAAGAAGGGAATTAAGTGTGGCTTTTAAATGGGTGAGAAGATCAGAAAATGGGATGGCAGATGTTTTGGCTAAGCAAGGGACAACTAGGCACCAAATGTTTTGGGAAAAATTATAATCTATCCTTTGGTTGGAGAAAACTTCCCACCTCATTGTAATTCACAAGGTTATGATAAAAAAAAGAGTGTTTGGGGTCTGTTTAGAGAGAAGGATAGTGGAGGCCATTTATTGCTGTAGGGGAAGGGGTGACAGAAATGATGTCAGATATTGTTATGGAGTAAGGATATATAAGAATGCCATGAGAACTCATAATGAATTATTGAAGAATCCAGTGATGAGATATGAATGAAAGTGAAGTGTTGGGAAAGATATATGGCATAAGAGGTTTAAAACAACTTAATAGTTGATTGCTTTTTATTTTGATTAATAATAGAAATTTTATTGATTCAGAATTCAGAAACTGATTTAGAATTGCAATTTCATACAACATCTCATGGAGAGGCGCGAGCTGCAGCCTCTCTCAATAGCTTACAAGTAAACTAGTAATAAATTACATAAATCACAGCTGAGCCCAAAACAATTCTTCCCTATTTGCCCCTTGTTTGGCTAACACATCAGCCAAAGCACTTAATAGCTGATTGCTTTGAAGGATTGGGAAGGATTTGGTTAGGAATGCAAAGGCTAAGTACAGTCATAACTATTTGAAGATCCTATGACTTGTTTCTTCTTTTTCTAGGATTTGATGGTGCACAGTTTTGAGCATTTGGAAGTTCATGGAGTTTGAACTTTTATGTGGAAGTAGTTTCTCTTTAGATGATTTTCTGCTGTCTTTGTACAGGAGCCATTGTTTTATTTATTGGCTTGGCTGCACAGATGTTCAGCCCCTAAGAAGGTGGATTTCTTCATATGGAAACAGTTCAATTCTGGATGAAATTGTCTGTGGAGTGTGGATAATTTAATGGTAGAGGAATATGAGTTACTATTTACTAGATATTCTCTATATCCTCGGAGTAAGGGCAAATAGTGGACCATTAGGGCTGTTCACAGATCAGGTTGGTTCGGTTTCAGTAATATTGTCAACCGAACCAAAATTTTTGGGTTGACTTTGAAACCAACCGAAACTGATTGACAAAAGGTAAAGACCAACTCTTGGGTTGACATCGGTTTTGATTACACCAACCGAAATTAAATGTTAGCTCAATGCCTCAATTTGACAAATTGATGTTTTTGTTTTTTAACTCTTTCCTTTATATTGACGAGTGTCGAACATGAACCACAACTCATTAACATCTTTACTTTGATAATACCTCGAGCTGTACTTTGCTAAGACCTTCACATTAACTGAGACTTCACAAAAGCTGAAGAAAGAAACAACTTTTACATCGAGACCATAAACTAAATGTTGAAGTTCAAACTGTACTTTGATAAGACCTTTGCTCATTTTGCCATTTTGTCGCATGTCTAAAATTGTCTGTAGAGAACATTGATGTGGGCCCCACAGCTGTGGTACCACTCTGTCCGTAAGGTAGAATGTATCTAGTCACAGCTGTGGTTATTTTGTTGTTCTGTTATTTCTAGTTTCAGTTTTATATTGGTTGTTATTTGTTAGCAGTTATGATGTAAACACCAAGGGCAGATATGTCCTTTCATGTAACTAGCATAACCTATATATATTAACTTAAAGTGGCGGCAGCAGAATATTGACATTTTGTTCTTCTCCTCAAAATCTGTGTTCTATTGCTCTTCCATCACTCTTTYTTCTACATCTTCTTCACTTTCCCTTCTCATCGAACCTAAAATCTCTTAGTGATCAAGACTGAATAGCAGTCTTGAAAACCTACATTGTCATTTTAATGGTCGAGGATTATAAAGTTTATTTGTGAAGAGTTACTTTTATATTTTTAGGTTTGCTACTTTTTTGTGGGAATTAGGAAAAAGGTAAATATAGTGAAGCGACAGAGGACGGTTGGGTCAGTTTCATTTTGGGTTTCAACGTCATAAACCACAACCGAACCGAATTATCGGTTTTTGACATTTTTTCAAACCGAAACAGGCCGATTTTTTTTAACTGACCATCTCAGGTCGAGTCGGTCTGGTTCGGTTGGTTTGGTCAGTTTATAAATTTTTATGAACAGCACTATGGACCATCTTCTTTTCCATTTCAGTTTTATGAGGGCAGGTTTTCTTTGCTCCAATCTTATTTCTGCACCTGGTATATCTATCCATTATTTGATGAAACTACTTGATTTTGTGTCCAGTAAACTAAGTAGTGCTTTTGGGTTTGGTCTATTTTGCTTGTGATTAACTTTGATTATTCTCTTTTCTTCCAATTAAATTAAATGATTGTTTTGATACCGGGTTTAGCTTCCAATAATTGTATTTGTGGACTAAGTACCTGGAGAAAGAATTGATGATTCTTTGATTTTGGTGCAGCTTGAAAGGTTTGATGATTTCACCCTTGCCTCTTCGTGGGAAAGGTATCTTTTATTGGCACGATAACTTTTACATGTTCATGTCCTTATATTGTCAACTTAAGCTTGGTAGGACCATGTGATTTGGAAGGGAGGAAAGAACTAGAACACCAATTCTCTCTCTCTCTCTCTCTCTTTTTTTTTTTAATTATCAGATTCATATCTGAAATTGAGGCTGTTTGCCGGTCATGGCTGGCTGATGGAACAAAGAATTTGTTGGTAAGCTTTTCTACCAGTTTATTCTCATTTTCTATGCTATGAGCTATGTTCTCTATATAGTTAAGCTGTTGTAGTTATAGTTTAATCACTTCTTTTTACATATTTGATATGTAAAGTATAATTTTCTGTGAAAAAATGGGATTAAACCCATGGTCTTATTGTTGTTATCTCTTGATTTCTTTTAACTACCAATATTTAAAAACACAGATTGTGATGAGAGACTTCCATTTGGTCCTACATTTGTCCAAACCTTATTGACCAGAATGTGGGGCTGGAGTACCAAACCTGAAAAGCTAAAAATTGTCAAGAACCTCTGTACATGTGCTTAGGGGCCATTTCTTGGTCCAAGGTATAATCTCAGGCTGACAAGCATGAGAATGTAGGTTTGAGTCTAAGAGCAGCCACTTTGTGGAAAAAAAGCCAAATGTTAGGTCTCTATCCAGTCTATCCCTCCCAAGACCCTGTATAGCTGGGACCATTGTTGGGCAATGACCCTTTTTTACCTTTATATATGCATGTGTTGTTTGTGTTTGTGGATTTTCTTAGGGGATAACATGTCTCCTTTTAAGTAGGTTGGAGCTGCCAAGGCAGGGGTGGAGCCAAGTATACTGGTGGGGGATCCTTGGCCCCCCAAACATTTTGTTAAAAGCATTATTTATATAGGGTTACTAATGGGAGGTTGGGTCAAAATGTAATAAAGTGGGTCCCCCCCCCAAAACCTTCTCAGACCATTTTTCCCCATACCCTACTTCTTCTACTCCCTATCTCATTTTAACTTGCCCCCCCAAAAGAAAATTCCTGGCTCTGCCATCATGCCAAGGTATTAACCTTAGGCAGTGTTTGGTTTGAAGGAAAGGAAGGGAAATGTCCCTTCTTTACCCTACATTATCCTTCAAACCAAACATAGCCTTAAGGTTCAAAATTTCAGTACGATACGCCCTGTATCAGACTGGAAGCTGTCCGAAACCCCAAATAAGGGGTGTTTCGGACTTTGACCATTTTCAGGGGGTAGGCATGCTTAAAACCGACCCCCTGATGCAATTTTGAAAAAAAAAAAACTAAAGAAAAGTTATTAAGTAGTGAAACACCTGATATGCCTTTTCATCTGTATTGGGTGTATTGATACTTTAAACCATGGTTAACCTTTTAATGGGCAACTATATTAGCCACTTAGCCAGAAACGCTGAATTTAGAGGCATTGAAGATTTGCAGCTGCTTATGTGAGGATTCATCGCCTAGACGATGTGATTTTTTTGAATAAAAACCATGAATCCTAGGATAATTCCCTACGTTCCATAGTAAGCAGCAATGATCTTTCACTGTTATTTGTCTATAATCTTCATAAAAATGTATAAGCTTCATTTAAAACATAAAAAATCAACATATTCATGAAAAATGGAAGAAAGAAAAGAAATTTTAGAAAATAGAGTGGCTGAGCCTCTATTTTTGTCCTTAAAGATCAATACGTGTTAAATTGCACAAAATTTTGTTCTTCCATGCTTATTTGTTCAGGTTTTTCTTTCCTTTTATACTAATTTAAATACAAGGTTTCCATATCTCTATTGATGGTCTGGGTTTTCCATCTTTTTCAATACTTCTGGTGATCTCTCTCTATCTATTTCTGGTGAGGTTTGGGTGGGAGTCTGTTATGGGCCCGAGCGTAGGATCGCGTCACGGGTCGTTCCACGACAGGAACCCCTGATCTTCCCTTGCCTTTGGCCTTGCGCACAGACCCTATTTTGCCTATCTAGTGGGTGATTTGTCCAAGAGACCACCCAAACTCTCCT